AGAAGTCTATGAGAAAATGACTCTACTTCTCATTTGATTTATTACCTCAGTAAACATTGTGAACGTGAGTTTATGGTCTCAATCTCTAGTTTCAAGTCTTCTTCAGTGCAGCATGATGCTCATTTAAACAGGGTATGCTTTAGGGCGTGGCTGCATTATGCCTGTATTATAATGACAGGTCACTTCCAGAGCCCTATACAGTGTCTCTACCACAGCGTCATGCCTCCACAGTCCAAATATGGTTATTTCCCTTCACTGGTTGCAAAAAACCAAGATGGCGATGACCAAAAAACAGGATGGCAACATCCAAAATGCCAAACTCGAGGTATCAAAACCGCAGTCCACAAACCAATTGGTAACGTCATGATGACCAAGTCCACTTGTTGTATGCAGTCTTTATATAACAGTGATTGTGAGTAGAGCTGCAACGACGAGTCAGTAAATTGATTAGTATTAAAGTGTTATTTCTATATTTTAAAGACCAAACCATTAATCATTTACTTCAGAAAGCAATCTCAATTTGTAGCCCAAATTCTAACGACAATTAAGAAAGATCCATAGGATTCAAAGAACGGATGAAGATGTTAGATCTCATTTTGAAGTCCTCATCCACTCCTGCACAAGTGCAGCAAAGAATGGAGCAGATGTCCATCATAAAGACGGAACAGTCTGGATGGACATTAATAATTGCATCAATCATAACCATGAAACATTTCAGTTATTTTGGTGATGGAACTGTAAATCCTTCCGATGACCCCTCTCGGAGACAGACGAGTTTCTGTTTAATGTAATGGGATGTCAGAGTTGCGTACTCTCTATTTAATATAATAGCTACGCTCCCCGCCTCTTCACTCCAGTCACCTTCGCCTCCCTGCTGTTCCCTCTCTCTGCTGAGAAGAAGCCGCCGTGCTTTACGACGGCCAGACCAGACCAGACCAGACCCACCGCTAAGGAGAGGCTTCCGCTCTCTTTACGGCCCCATAAATATATTGTTATCTGGGCACCGGGCGAGATTTATCCGCGCGGTTGGTGGAGATAGCGAGCCGAGCATCCTGAATCATTAATTACACAAGAGGCCGCGCCGCGTCCACCTTATAGTTCCCCGTCTCTGCTCTGTAGGAGAGACACTTTTAAGTAGCTGACGAGGCATAGGAGTTAATTATATGTCGCTTAGGTGCGTTTTTTAATATATTTATTTCTTATTTTAAAGTACCGGGATAGTGGCGCTGGGGCCACAGATTTGGAAGTGGTCCTTGACAGAGATGATCTAAACTCTATGAATCCTCTGACACTTTGCATACAGTACATTAACAACATTTGCAAGACAAGAGATGATAAAATGGGCCGTATGAAAATACCCGCGGGAGGCATCAAGAGCGCACCATCAAGAGTTTGAAGTCCTTTAAGCTCTACAAGTCTGTTCGTGGCCCAGCTAGAAATCCACAGAGTCCGTTGACGCTACCTTCTCTCTGAGGCAGCTGGGTAGAGTATCTTCAGGGGTCGGGGCTGGTTCGCTCTCTCCTTTGATCGACTTCGCAAAGTGAATTTTCTTTGCCATCAAAGGAAATGATCAGAGTGTTTTGATTTGATTGTGGTGTCAGCTGAGAGTGAACGGTGTGTTCACTTGAATCTCTGAGCTGCAAACATGTAAAACATGCTGTATCTCTAGATCTGGGTTTCCTGAAGGCAAATACTTGTTGTTTGAAGTAGATATATAATTATTTCTTCCATTTTTTTCCCCTGTTGAAGTTTTTATTTTTATATTTTTTTATTATCTGGAGTGAAGGTCTCACTCAGGTTCTATGCTGTTCAGATTGTAAAACCTGTTGAAGCAAAATGTGATATTGGGCTTTGTTAATAAAATTGACTTTACAGTAATATTAAGAAATTAAAGTGAAGACGTCCGTTTCAATTTCAGTCAGAATTTAGATTTTTTGTTTTGTTTTCAGTGTTACAAGCAGTTTACACACCTACACATCCTCCTCACACACCAACCTAGAAACCCTCATCAGAGGCCTCCCTGTGCATGTCAGACCCCCCCTTCCTTACATCCCCCCTGCATGCTCTGTGGGAACATGAACAATAGATGTTGTCAGACCACAAAGGTGAACATCTTCCACTCCAAGTGTCCGGACCAGCAGGTGGTGCTGTGGCCCTCGTGAACTAAACACCCTGAGGTTTGGGGAGTCATCGGATGTAAAGACTTTGACGACTAACGGCTTGTGTTCAGTCAAGATGGTGGTCGTCAGGCTGTTGAAAACATTCCTCGCTGACGAGTGTCTTTTCGTGTTTTATTCCAGGATCACGGACCAGCGGCACGAGAAGCTGCCATATTTCATCTTTGGGGACTTTAACTTCAGGCTGGACTCGAAGCAGGTCATTGAGGTGAGTGTTTGTGGTGTGATGGAAGGGAGATGAATGCTGATACACTGTACACATGTACACAACCTGTGTCAAACTCTGAGCAATATAAAGTTTGTGTGCATTAGAGAGACACTGCCGTGCAGTAAAAGTGGTTTTTAGGAGCCCACTGTCTCTTTAGAGTTATGACTCATTAAACGCCTCACTGTCGCTGGCCCAGCTGTGTTTGCCAACTGAGCCTCCAAGTGCATTGTTATGTTACGGTGCCATTCACTGCTCTTTCTCTCTCCCTTCCTCTCCTGCTCCCTCCCCTCTTTCTTCCTCCTCCCCTCCTTTCCTTGGTGCAAATGAGGCCGGTGAGAGCCGAAGGTATAGCGCGGTCATTCAGCACGGCGAGATGTCGGGCGGGGGGGCGGGGGTGGCATAACAAGTCATAAAGCCCCTACAGACATTGGCGTTCCGTGATAACAGAGTGGGAGAGCCACTTGTTGGCCGCTCGTCTCCCCTGCTCTCCGGCACAATGGCCCCTGGAGTCGGTGGGCCTGTTCGAGGTGTGGGCTTTGTTCGGCTCAACCATTCAGATGAGGATGGAAGAGGAGGGAATGACTTAGGAAGGACTTTCACTCTGTGTGGCACAGGAGAAGAAGCCTTCTGTAGTTCAGTCCCCCGGCCACTAGGGGGGTGGTAAGCCACCGTCGGCTGAATGGGATGAGCGACCCGACGGGGGGGGACTTGATTGACGGCCTCAAAGTTTGTGCAGCAGATTTGATTTTGGGACGAGTAATTGGGTCGCATTACTGTAACCGGCTGATCATGTGAGCCTGCGTTGCTTCGGAGCTAATAAATCCACAACAGCAGATGTGCAAACACGGAGGTTATTCAGGAGTCAGCTCTGGCAATTAGATGTCACCTGGCCCTCGTTGAGGTCGCCACGGTGATTCTAAAGCAGAGATGGGAGGTTTTATGTCTGGTCAGCACTGCTGTGTTAAAAGAGATGGTGTTCTACACGTCCAATTTATATGAAATGGTACTTGGTACTATTTTTAAAGAAGGTGTGTTTTCACTGCAGCATGGATGCCTTAAAGGGACAGTTCACCCCGAAAACAGAACTACGTATTTGTCCTCTTACCTGTAACGTCAGTCTACATTGATAGGAACTATGGTTGAAATAAAATAGTTCCGACATGAAACCGGTTGAGCACAACAAGCTGAGTGCCATACGGTGCTATTATATTAGAGAGACAAAAGAGGTAAGAGGAAGAATTTATATATTTTGATATTTGGGGTGAACTGTCTTTTTTTAAACTGACAGGAAAGCATCCAATCACACCGAGTCAGATGAGATGATTCTCAGCGTGTTTACCGTGTGCTGCTGATCTAGATAGCTCGGTGGGAGGTAGGCACTCACCCTCTCCGTGTCTCTGCCGCTCTGAAATGCTCTTTGAGTGCAGCAGGGGGTCGCGACCCCTTTTCCAGGGATGTGTTAGGCTTGCATCGCTGTGTGTCCATCTCTGCCCCCCCCCCCCGCCCCCGCACCCTCTCTCCCCTCCACACGGCTCCTTTCTTATGCACCTTGGCCCCCATTCACATCCAGAGCGAATACACACACACACACACAGACCAATTTGTTAGGCCAAATTAATCTGATTGATTCAGTCCATTTTAAAGGGGTGCGAGAGCAATGCAGGGGGGCTTTTAGACTTCCCCTCAGGAAGTTAGAGCTGTGGCTTAACCCCCTCCCCCCCCCTCCACACACACACACACTCACCTAGACATTTCCCCTCCAGCTTAATGAGGGTCCCTCAAACCTGCCGAACTGGGACAATGGAGTAGGGCTATGATGTCATCATAATGTAAACCCGTCCTGCGTTGTGGTCAACCTGGTTCTGATTTAACCGGGACCTTTGCGATGGAGAGCTTTGATGTCACCAATAAACAAACGGGTTGCAACCTCGGCACAGAATGTAACTCAGTCGGGAGGCCGTTTCAAGCCCTTTTAATGACAATTAATGTCAACAGGACAATTAGCGCACAGCCACCGAAGTGCTTAACCGTAGATGGGCCTGTGGCGGATCGATCGTCCATACTTATCCGAAGATTGATTCCGACACGGAGCTCGTTTCCCGCCGTCTGGGAGTCTCTCTCTATTTTTTTTTTTTCCATTGCTTTTCTCACTATTCTCTCCACTTTCGATCGATGTGGAAGGGCCCCCCAAAAAAGCGTTGCAGATGAATAGGCACTTTTACCTCGTTAAGTGGACGATATAATCGCACATTTAAACTTGTTTTTGATTTGTCGAACACCAGGGGCAACCCCTTGAGCACCCTCGGGGTTCGTCAGGCCCCACTTTGGGAGTCACTGGGTCAGAAAATGCTCCAGGACATTTCTCTACAGCTGCACGCTACACCACTCCTCTTCTTCTCCGGCTCTGGTCCATTGTGGGGAACTAGACTGTGGACAACCGCTAGCCACTCCCCCCGTCACCCATCCCGCCTTGTGGGTGGGTTGGATGGGACAGGGGGTATTTTGGGATGTATCCATGTGTGTACAGAGAAGGAGGTGGGTTTGAAAAAAAAAAGGGGGGGGGAGTTTGTTATTGTCACAGGGCAAATTCCAGGTGGCAAATTCCTGGCATGCTTGTGCGGCAGGATCAGTAACCAAAGGCCCGCGGACCCCCCCTTCCCGCCCGGTCCGGGCAACCCCATTAATTGTGTCCGACAGAGGGAATTGGTTTCAATTGACCCCCATTCAGCGGGGCCTTTGACTGGCAGACAAAGGACACAGCCACGTGGAGACTAATGCTAGGGCTGAGCAGCCTGGAGGTGGTCCAGTCCCCTCTCCTCTCCCATGGGTGTGATCGGGCTGCGGCTTGATCATGCTTTGCATCGGTGCTGATAAAACAGGAAACCGCAGAGGAATGGCTTTTTGAAGGTTTTGTCTGGCGAATCAGAGCTGGCAGTTTCTTTGAACCCCTTCATGGAGCACTCGTGTTCAAGCCAGTAGGGACTTCAGAGACACGACAGGTGAATAGAGTAGAAAGTATAACCAACAGGTGACACCATGAAACTTCCCAAGTTGATTACGTACATTAAGACAATTGTTTTTTGTATTACAAGTTTTTTTTGAAATTTTATGTTTGAATATGCAAATTAGCTTATCAAATATGAGTAATTTGCATACTTTTCCAGAACATAATTCTGAACATTGGATAAAGCCAGGTTCATAATTCTTGTTTCATTTTGTTGACATATTAGACTCGATGGTTTTTAGCCTTAAAAAAAACTATTTTCTTCATGATTTAGGAATAAAATGTTGTATAAATCAGGCGATGAGTGATTTATGAACAAACCCCTCTGTGGTAACCTCCAGAGTATAAATAGGAATGAAAATGGAAAGTTTTCTGAATGTAAGTGCTGCTGAAGTGATTTATAAATAATGTATAGCAAACAGCCTTAAAAATATGTAGTGTAAAATTACATACATTTTTCAGACAATGCAGGTGAATAGGGTTAAAAATACTGAATGTATATCACCATTAAACTTCCCAAGTTGATTACTTATACTAAGACAATTATTTTTTCTATTACAAGTTTTCTGAAGTGTTATGTTTAAATATGCAAATGAGGCCTTATCTAATGGTAACCTGTGGTGATATTAGGAGAAATCTACAGACGCATATAGACAAAGTAGTCGAGTAAAGACCTAAATGTGTATTTTTCGGATGTTTTCTTTCCACTACTCTGAAAGAAGACTAAAATGAACCGGTGCATGAAAAATACAGAGATTCTGCTGATAGTGTTTTCCCTTAATGGACTAAAGATGCGTCCCAGACCTGTTGCAGTGTTCAAGGAGGGCCAAAATGAGGGGGGGATGTTATTATAATGAAGATGGAAGCAGGCAGGGAGCACTCTGCGATTGATGTGGGATGAAATTTTAAGAGGTTGATATTATTGATCTCAACCATGCGTGTAAATCCATTTCCCTCCAATAAACCGTATGCCTCAATTAAGATAAATACTTTCATCTTATTCTTGATCGCTCTCTCTCTCCCCCTCTCTCTTTCTCTCTCCCCCCTCCCTCTCTCCCCACTTCCAATCTGTTTCTTTGTAAACACTGAACAGGAATCAGAGTTGACAATTAGTCATTTATTAACATTTCAATACACTTTGAGTTCCCACTGCCTCCATTTAATAAGCCTCGTTTCCAGTGTGGACTCTAACCAGGGTGATGGTTCAGACTGATTTACAGCAGACGACATTGTATATGCAGGTATAAGTGAATCACGGGGGGGCATGCAGGAGGAGAATGACAAACCTGTTGGAACAGGCCATTTAGTCACTGCCCCTGTGTACAGTTTGATGCTCGTAACAATAAGGTTACAATAGTAACACTGTCAACCCCGAACAGCCCAGCTCAGTCATGAGTTGACCCTTTCACACTGACGGCAAACAGCTTTTCCATGGCGCTTCAATCAGAGGGTGGTATAAGGTGTACAGTGGCGCGTGTGTGCGTGTGCGTGTGCGTGTGCGTGTGCGTGTGTGTGTGTGTGTGTGTTCCCTCGAGGTGGCCGGCGGCCGTGAATCAGCCGCGTCGATGACAGGCTCAGGGCTCCGTGCCTGGACTCCCAGTATATTTAAAATCCCTCCTAATTAAACTTAATAGAATGTAAATTTAATATCTGCAGAGATTGTGTGCCGCTGGCCCCGGCCCGCTCCAATTTAAGGATTGATAGAGGCCAGAGGGAAGGTTAATTGCTGACTTGATCTACTGTCCCCGTGACATGGTGTGGGGCTGTTTTAATTGGGGCTGATCCGCTGCTACACGGACAGATTTCATTAGGCTAGCTGCCC